GATCAGCCATTATTCGGGACAGCAGGAGAGTACGTATTAAATATTTTATATTATATAGACCAACGGTCGGCAATTGGCGGACCACGGTCCGATTTCGACCCGAAATCGGACCGTGGCACGCAGAAAGCCTCCGGATCGTTGACATGTCTTAACATTTTTTCTTCATATTACTATTAAAAGAACATAAAGATTTGGCAAACATTTTTTTCACTGGACCTCATTTATTTATTATTTTAATCTTCCGGACTCCAACAGAAATTACTTGCCGACCCCTGATAGGTACAGACTATTAGTAAAAAAGATGAGCAGTGACCACATTCCCACGAAACGAATATCCATGTTAGCAAGGACGTATATAAGGAGGGGGAACAACAAATTAGGAGGGCTTAGCCGACCCGGATCCATTTTAAGCCCTATATGATGCATAAATTTAAATCTACACATTCTAATATAGGTATAGCCGGCACTGTAGCTAAGTGAACTTTATTATAATATAATAAATTATGCTATACCTAATTTGTGAGCAAAAAAATAAGTTATAAACGTACTTCAAGTTTCAAGCAAGCTTTTATTTAACGATTAATAAAATAATAACAGAATACACGTAAGAAAATTAAAGTATACAATATAAATAAAAAGATATAAAATATATTTTATAGTTAAGGAATAACTCGGCTTCGCCTGTGTGTCGTTTTTTAACTATATTGTATATATACGCTGATATTTATTCTCATAAACACAACATAAAATTTTTATAAGTCTAGTTTTTAAATATATTGGTGTTTTAGTTTAAAATAACCACTTATAAATATAATGACATTTTATTCTGATAAAAATATACCCATATCTAATATGTATGRAAATATAAAAATTAATCATTCCTCATTCATTTCTTTAACAAAAACCATAATTTATTTTAATTTTAATGTCAACAAAAATATTTAATTATAGCTATTGTTAGAATAATTAATTATTTTCTAGAAATAAAGAAATGTTAAGATTAAATTGGATAAAAGTTATACTTGAAAATAAGTAGGTAATACCTAACATTAATATTAATTACATTTATTACACTTGGAGTCTTGGACTGAATCTTTCAATATTGCTCTTAGAAATAACGATGATATTCATTATTGTTATTATACGCGTTATTATGAATCGTATAATGAAAAATAAGCTCCGTCTGCCTATTGCGTACATTCACTTCGAGTTATTAATTCTTGTATGTATATACACCACGAAAGCGAGGTGATGACAACTTACATTGGCCCTATTTCCTGTATGGCTAGTAAAAATGTAATGTTAAGACAGAGGGAGAGAGGAAGAATAGAAAGAAATATGTGAAGTTTATAATACAAGTACGCCTGTTCGATGTGGAAGCCATCGTAGATATTTCAACAGTGTAATAAAAATTAGGTGCATAAAATAAATATAAAAAAACTTCGTGGTCATGCACATATAACCCACAACAGACACCATTTTTTTTTTTTAGTATTTTTGTAATTTTAAAATAGAATATTATTCGAGGATATAAATGGTAGATTTAAAATTAATATAAGATATACAATAATCAAATTACGCGAACAATTTGTTTTTATGTGTATTTATTTATACTCTGTATATAATAACAATAACACCTAACACAAAAATAGTTTTATTCAAATAAGTCACTGTTATTTAAGTAAATAAACAAGGTAATAAATCTATGAATACCTACTATTTAAATAAAATAAAAAATTTATATTAAAAGTATTTGTGTAGACAATARATGGATAAGTAGATAGTTTTATACTTATAAATAATAGAATATATTTTATAATAATTTATTTCRTGCCTCTTCATACTACATTATATTATTCTAAACAATTATGACTAAATAGTAAATATTAATTTACACTTTTTTATCATCTCAATAATGTATAATCATTTTTTAACTTTTCAGGTAGCTGATGGTTATTTGCARTAGGTATATTTTGAGAATCAACCACATATTTAATCAAGATGTAGAAGATATAGGAAACTAATATTGTTTATTCTAAGCCCCGAAACATGTCAGTATGTACCTAACTCGTAATTTATATAGAGTATAAGTGTACTTAATCTGCAATTCATTTATTGTTTATCAATTCGCAATATTCTCCAATAACATAATTCCAACAGTATTTAAAATCAAAACTAAAATTAATTTTGATGATTAACAAATTTAAATCTTGATCTTACACATAGGTACTATAATAATATACATATTATTTTTATTATTATTACTATCACTATCTTACTATAATTTGYAGTTATGTCGTTTGTAATTTTGTTTTATCAATATTACGTCAAATACTGCCATATAAAAGTATATATGTTTTTAGTTTTGCTAGTCTATGTTTTGTAAYATGTTATCTTTATATATAAGTGGCGTTAGTAGCGTTTCAAATATTTTATCCATAAGGGCAAATATTGAAGCTATCCACTCACCCACTTAGACACATGTAAAATTAAAATCTGTCTATATATTTATTTATTTTTAATTAATAATAAAATTATTATTGATATTATATTACAATATCAATTTATATTATTGGGACCTATAACTTCTTACAATAAATACCCTATATACATATATATGGACCACGGGGGTTGTAATGCGATTAGTAAAGGACTTTCGGCTTGAATCATCGTTTAAAACAGTTTTCTGTGCACTAGTGCGTCCCATATTAGAATATACAGCCGTAGTAGGGACCCTTATACTGCTGATAATTCAAGCAAATTGAGCGGGTTCAACGCAGGTTCCTACGATATGCTAGCTTTATACTTAAGATACCTGATGTGCACCTMATGACTATACGCAGATTGCTATACTCACTTGGGTTTAGCCTCTTTGTCTGATCGTCACCGTTTTGCAGATATGAAATTTATTCTTACGTGTCTTTTAAACAATAGTATCGATTCTCCAGTACTTCTCTCTCTAATTTGCTTTAAAGTTCCTTCTTGATCATCTCGTTCCAACGGCTTCTTCTATGACYGTATGCCACCACCAACAATATATGACTAATGAGCCTTTAAGACGTATAATGTCGTGTGCCAAAGAACACCCCACCTTCAGCAGTTTATTAATATAATCATGTATAATATCGATTTTATAAGTAATTATAATTGTATAATATCATTCTTTTCTGTTAATAATTATTTTTTCTAACGCGTTCTGTAATCACATTTATGTAATGTTTATTGTCAAAAGGATCCAGCCCGTACATTTAATAAATAAAATAAAATAAAATATGCAATATAATAATACCTATTTCCAGTCCCTCATCTATTACTTATGTACAATTATGCAGTATGCATTTTGTTATATACRTGTAACTCCTTAACAATAAATCAGTAAAGTATACCTATACTCTAAAAAGTCTAAATTTAGTCTATTATATGATGATTTCGTAAGTTTATCACGTTATATTATTAAAAATTATTTATTCAATAATGATAGTTTAATATAAATATAAACTGTACACGCAAACAAGATTACACACCGCTTAAAATTAAAAAAAAAAAATGTTCATGATGCCACTGTAAGAATATTATATTATAATAATTAATAAATATGTAGGTATATGATATATAAGGTATACACTATACATATTAAGCTCAATATAATATCATAGCACAGATTACATTAAATTACATAAAAATACATTAAAATGAATTAACTTTACATTTTAAAATATATTTTATTTATATAATACACTTTATATATAATACTTTACTTCGCTTATAGGTAACTATTATAACGGTATAACATGATTAACAAATATTGCATAAGCCATAAGACCTTAAAATATAAAATTCGRATATTTAATATTTTGTTCACGTAATAAGAGATTTAGCATATAGACTAGTATAGCCCAGTATAGTAAACGTGTATAATTATTCAATATATATATATATATTATATATACGATGTAATATTATGTACATGTGCGTAGTTTGGTATAATTATATGTGGGGGCTATATAGAACTAGAAAAATATACCATTTAAAAACATAGTCATAGTCTATTACATTACTGTGCAACTTATGTAGGTACATAGACTATTACATAGTCTATGTACCTACATATATAATGAGTTTAAAACTTAAAATAATATAAATACCTATATAGGCATTTCGAATAACTAGAATAATAATTAAAGAAAGTAGTAGGTAGAAACTAAAAAATTAATTCATTTTATGTTTAAAAAGAAAGGTAAATATAAGTGAGCACGAGTAAGTAAAAATAAAACTGTTCAATAAATATTGTAAAAAATATGTACCACTCAATGTAGTTAACTGCAACTACTGGAGAATAAATAAAAATCGTATAGGTATATTAGGTACAGTTTTAAAAAATTTAAACATATAATGCATGGGACCATGGGAGGGTGTGTTCAAAAGGGGGGACAAGAGGCTGGATCCAACAAAAACAGAAGGGGAACTATATGCGTACGCCCAACCCACTTGGCCAATCCGGAGCATAAGCCAATCCCTTCACTAGTGGGTTGTGAAATGTGTGAATGATGAAAAAATAGTACTACGGTGGCGTTAAAAATAAAACGATTTAGTGACGGGAGAAAACGGGATGACAGAGAAATAGACCAGTATTGGTGAAAGGTTCGCGAGTTTCGGTGTTGTTTTTTCGCCACCTTTAAAAATCTGTCCTGGTTAAATATTATAGCAACGCGCGTGTTGACAGGGTGATATTCGTTTGTTTTGATTTGAGTTATCTGTTTAATTTTTTTTCGGCAATAAAAAAATCATCGTCCACATTTCACGGTGGCCAATGTACAATAATAATTGTCGTGTAAATCAGTCGCGGACGTTTCACACTTTTGTATATTTTTGTTTTACCATAGTGATGAATATAATTTGTTAAATATTTTTTTGCCACTAAATAAACGGTTGATAAAYTTTTCATAAAAGTGAAAAAAAATATTAGTGTTGACAAAATAAGTGCTTAAGGGGTGGTCAACATGCACCCGTTTTATAATACGTATGGCAGTGGAGGAAACGTTGAACACCTGTATGATGACAATTGGGTAGCACCACCATCCAATACACCGATGAAGGATATTGAAGGTAGGTGCCAAACTATACTATGTTTTTTGTTCATTTTTTATTTTTATGACCTTACAAATGTATTTAGGCAATTAAGAATACATATCGCATTAATTAATATAGTTTTTTATGGAATCTGAAAATATACCAAATCAGCTTTGACTTGACCAAACAATATAATATACGGATATGGTATTTTATTTATTTTTATTTTACGAGATTGTAATCACTATCTTATACAGTTATATTATATGGTTTAAAATTAATTACATAAATAACTTCAGTAAGTATTTTATATAATAAATACCTACAAACAACTTTTGTTTACTTACTATATTTTTTCAAAAATTTTAACTCTGTCTATAAAAAAATAATGTTAATTTTATATATTTAATCTACGTATTTGTGTATAAATTTTTTATTATTAATAAAAATTAATAATAACTTGAGCCTATATAAAGTTTAATAAAATAATGTATCATAATATTGATTCCAAAATTAAATTTCTTAATACATTAGGTTTAGGTAGGTACTTAATAAACACATATCATATACCTATGCATAATAACTTTTTATTATAACGTAAAAACTAGATATCGATGCTCGTGCAAAACTTAATAAATTCAATTTCTTATTTAAATTTCAAAATTTACCTTTTTATGATAATTAATTATAATAAATTCAATTTTATTATGTTTATAATATATTATAATACCTATATAAATTAATAGTATCTACTAAATTCCTATGAAATAATATTTTCATTCTGCAGAATTTAGTATAGGAATAGGTACAATCCGGATGACCGGATTATWATTTATTTATTTACCTGCATTGTAAAATGCACGCAAATTAGTTGTAGTCATCCTTAAAATTAGCCATTAAGTAAACATAATAATACATCAGATACCTATTTTATTTTAACGTMTAGTAAAATACTAAAATATTGAAAAAAGTTCGCATATTATTATAGTTATTATCTAAAATATTATGTATAGTATAATGATTTATATATCAAAATATATATTGTAGAAATATACACACATATATCTATGGTTATATGCAATATAGGTATAATAGGTACATATTATGTATAATTATATTGCGTTTCAGCGTTTGTGTATGGGCGTATAGCAGCCATTATGTGTATAAAAATCATGTTTTATTTTAATTTTTTAACAGTTTTCTTTTTATTAATAAGACAATTTTACATTTCAAATTTAAATTATGTCAATGTATTATAATGTTTACTATAAATTTCTGTTTAATATACGCATATACAATACATCTAAATAAACCAGTTTTTTCAATTCTATAACAGAATCTTTTATTTCTATTATATCACTTATGATATGTGATATAATTTTTATCTTACATTATTTGAATTACAAGTGTGCCAATATTGAATTTATTTTATACACCTTCGGACTAGGATACACTTGGTGTTATGCCAATTATAGGTCTTTTAGATTCAAGTTCAATCAATATAATATAWAAGCAGAAATATACGTATAGATATAGACATATAAGTAATACATAACAGTGCATATATATAAAACTCTAAATTATTATATTTTAATAATAAGCACAAAAAAACCTTAAAAAAAGAAATAACTCAATTTAGTGCAAGATTACCTATAAAAAGTAACAAAATTAAAATGTAGTCAAAAATATTATGCATAATATACATAATATACCTAACCTATCCATAAAAGCAATAATCGAAAATCTATCATATAAAGTAAATGGCCTATCTGATGTTCCTTATACAAATTCGTTTGGTACCRAAATTCGCACCCATAGCATAAGGGCTATTGAACGTCGGACGTGCTRTGAGGTTACTTTTCATCCCTGCAGGATTCAACCCCTAAATATTGATAACCACATGAATTTTGTTTCAGTTCATGAAAATAAAATTATTTTTTTTTGTTTATCGTAAGGTTGCCATTAGTTATAGAAAATAATATAGTTATTCAAAATCAGAATTCATATAGTAACAAAATCTCATATAAGWACATAATATAATTATTAAAATKTATATAATATTTAAAAATTAATAYATAGGGCTTAGAAACTACTGAACCAATTGGCACCATTTGAACACAGTGCAGGCGCAACCAGTGGAGAGGTTTGGAGGTAGTGACCCCCCATGAAATGTTTTTWAAAGTCAAATATTTTAAAGTGAAGACCTCCGAGGAGTGTTCATAGCTTTGTTTTTAAACTTCTATAGATTTCGCGAACTTTTCGATTATCGTATACTTCAACGGTCGGCAGCGGTGGTCGGKAAATACCTATTCCGTAATCGTAGGTACCTACTATCGGCTAAAGAACGAAATAAATTTCATTTATATTTAGGTAGCCATTGGTAACAGATTTTTTTGAATTTAACAAGTGMAAAACCCAATCCACCTCCGTCGAATTGTCCGTGGTGAATTGAGAAACATTAAAACCTAGATAGACCTAAGTCCTAAATAGCATTGTATTTAATAACCATGAGCATTTTTCTGAGTAAAGTCAGCCATCGGGCTATACATCTAGTACTAGTATAGTATAAAATATAAATTATGAAATTAGTTTGAACAATGAATAAATTACTGATTAAAATCTCKTATTTATTTAGATTTTCATTAATACGTCTCAATAATATTATACTCTTGTGCTTTGAATTCAGAACGCGGGACGAATACGCTTTTTAACACTTTTCTTAAGTTCGCTTTCACGTCCGTCTGTGATCAAATAGTAACACACCCATCGGTTTRTAAGCAATATAAAAATGACAGATTATATTTTTATTATTTATTTTGTATCAAAGTTTAAGTATTAATATTATAACTTTTACAATACCTAATTATTTAGGCACATAAAAAAAATGTATAACCCAATAGTTATAGATAACTATAACCAAATAACCATTATTTAATACCACGGTGTAGCTAAAACGGTGATGTATTTTTCCAGTTTGATAGATATTTTCTGGAATTTTTGTGACGGCATTTAATATAAAACGTTATTTATTATTAATAGGTCTTTTAACTATTAGAAAAGGCATATATCGTAATCAATCACGTGTCTAATATAAAAGTACCAAATTATTCTTATTATTTCGTAATTGCCAAATGTGAATATGAAGATGGTAAGATGTGTTTTAATTATTGAGGAGTCTGAAGAGGTCACGACTCCCTAAACTCAATTTCTTTATATCCTGGCATCCTGCCGCGGTAATTATATTATACATGTATTTTTAATTTTGATAAACGATTATTAACGATTTTTATTGTTTCTAAGTATTGAGTAATTATATTTTATAAAACAAAACATGGTTGTTTTTAATAAGTATACCGCTGTTTTACTAGTGTTTATTGTACTATTTTATTTTAGTCTTAATATTTTTTTTAAACATTAACTTTCTGATTTTKAATTAAATTTATCTACATATTTAGTATCAATATATTTGGCTAAATTATTTGAATTCTATCAAAAACTTAATTGAAGTGATAAATTTCAAAATATATTTTTCATATTTTCGTATCATAACAAAAATAGCTGCCAAAAAATAACACTTGRAAATGAAGACTATTCACAAATATGTTAAAAACTCAGATATGAAAATTGAGAATACATGTATTAACTATTTGGCTACATTTATCTGAATTTAAAGAAAAGAAAATGTTGTTTTAGTTTTAAATATATTTATATAGGTGTAGTAAGGCAGATATTTTTCATAGTTTTTTTTTACTTTTTTTGGTAAAACTGCCTTATAATATCGTTTTAGACCAATCTTTAAAATATTTAAATTATAAATAAATATCTGCAGCTWTAACTCAAAATTAATTTAAAATAGTTGATCATAAAAAATATTAAATATTACAATAATGTAAACTAAACATTTCAATAATGATATACATTTTATGGTATATAAAAAATAATAATTAATATGAAATCATGTAAGTTGATAAAAATAAAAAATAATAATTTGTTTGTCTATAGCATGTTTAGAAACTGTATCGAGTTCAAATATACAAGCAATTAAATCAACTTCTCATCAATCATATTTATCACCAGATAGAAAAAGATTGGATGTAGTGGCCAATAGTCAAGAACATCCAAAACTTTCTGGAGTTGGTGCCGCATTAGAAATGAAACACCTGTGGGAAGAGTTTAATGAGCTTGGTACGGAAATGATCGTCACCAAAGCTGGCAGGTAAATACAACTATGTTAAAAAAATATGATTAAGTAAATTTATATAAATACCTCCATAATATATAGTATGTACAACATATTACATATTATATTTTACTTCTAAATAATTAATGATTTATTTTAATTTTAATACACTAAGTGTAGGGTCATGAAATAATCTGTCTAAAATACAGATCGATATTTTTACTCTGTTCAGAGTTTAAAAATATTATATTCATTTCTCTGCAGCTTATATTGAAAATTGTATAAATATTTAATTGTAATATTTCCTGAAACAGGCATACACCATTAATTGAAATATATAAAGTATAACTACTTATTTTACTTAAATTTTTTGGGGTCTTATATATTGATTATTCAATTTACTTGAATTATTATTAAATTTTGATTTAGTTCTTACATATTCTTATTTTATAGAGAAATAGATTCATAGATTTATAATATAATGTATTAATGTTTCCTATCATGGATTTAAATTATATGTATATGGAATAAGCTGATTGTACACAATCATGATGTCCACTATACTTCGGTACTTTAATATTTAAAGTTTAAACTCTAATTTCGATTTTAATTCATGTATTATTTTTAAATTCGTTTCTGTCTTTCTTTAAGAGAATTATAATTTTTGTTCATATATCTATTATTAAATACTTATACTTATTTATACGTCATATAAAGTCTCTATATGATGATTTCAAAAGRGAAATAAACAAAATACAACAATACTACATTTAAAATTTGACTTATTTACCTATAATTATTTGAAATTGTTTTTCATAAAAAAATCTAGCTATATTTTCGAAGCGTCATATCGGCGCCAAAGACCACAGTGACGAGTGCCAAACACTCAAACTATTGACGCTTAACCATACATTAATATATTATAATCCCATTGTAAAAAATGTATACAAATTTTTTTTTAATGGAAATCGTCTAGCAATATGTGGAGTTATGATGTTTAAGATCTACTATTCACTCAAATGTTGCATCATCATGACATTATGCATACATTTTTGTTATTATAAATTAATACAAATTAATATAAAAAAAATATAAATRTGTGGAGTTATGATGTATAGGATCTACTATTCACTCAAATGTTGCATCATCATGACATTATGCATACATTTTTGTTATTACAAATTAATACAAAYATATTTTTGTAAATTATAGAATGAATTAAAATTATAGATTTATTATATTCATACATTAATATTATTTTTGCTTGATAAATCACTTAAGATAATCGGATGTAAATTTAATTTAAATCATCAATTCATATGAAAACTTTGGAGACATTAACGAGTGTATCAGAGCCTTTCCATTTTATCGTGATATTTAATAATAATAGCTCCAAATGTTTAAAATCTTTGTACAATAATTTACATAAACATAACATTTATTTTGTATGTATAAAATKTGTTATCAAAATTAGTAAATATAGATTTATGATTTACAGAAGAATGTTCCCTACATTCCAAGTCCGATTATATGGTTTGGATCCAGTAGCAGAATATATGCTTATGATGGATTTTGTTCCTGTAGATGATAAAAGATATAGATATGCATTTCATAGGTAAATATAGATATTATGTTTAATATTTAAGTTTTTAAATCTAAAATTAGATTTTCAAACTTTATAAGTTATATTATAAATCAAATGTTAAAAGTTAGATTTCCGAATAATACTTAAGGTTCGAACAGTTTTACCGATGGAGTTTTTACGTTACCATCTAAACCGCAGTGGTAAAACCGTTCGGACTCTACTTCGAGAAAATCACAGTGTAGTGTTCRTCTCTAAAGCACATTTGATGTATTCCTAGTATGATACCTAAATGTTATGCATTATATAGTTCAAGCTGGGTGGTCGCTGGTAAATCGGATCCTATATCACCCCCTAGAGTACATATTCATCCTGATTCACCAGCATCTGGAGGACAGTGGTTGAAACAAGTTGTATCATTCGATAAACTTAAGTTGACCAACAATCAGATGGATGACAATGGGCATGTATGTATAAAATAATAAATGTTTAAACAGTAGGTATAAGTAGTTGACTATAATAAAATCATTACTACCCATATAGATATAATAATTGCCTATATTTCTCGCATATAAAAATTGTCTTTACTTATTCGAAAATTTTTTTATTTAGATTATCCTTAATTCAATGCATCGATACCAACCCAGATTCCATGTACTCTACATTCCAGGAAGAGACGAAGGCTCTTCAAATTCCACAAACAATTTTAAAACATTTATGTTTCCAGAGACCAAATTTACAGCTGTCACTGCTTACCAAAATCACAGGGTAAGATAAATTAAAAATTAATTAATTAATTAAATTAAAACCATTCAAAATACTTCTATAATGAATGATGAATTACATATTTTGTGATATAATTCGATTAGTATCTATTATTATTGTATCATGAACTTTTAGCTCAATGTTTATTTACTTCCTGCATTCTATATACTACACTGATTTAATTTATATAATACCTTTTTATTTTTTATTRACTTGTTATTTTTATTTTTCAAATACTTACTACCATCTATAACTTTCTATTACTTATTAAATTGTCTTCACTCAATAAATAATAATATTATTTGATTTTAAATTGTGTTATTTTTGGCTTTAACATACCTACAAAGTACAAGTACTCATTCGTTGAATAAAATTGATAAATATTAAATACGATGATAAATAATAAGTTKAATTCAAACTAAAATTACATCATATTTATTTTTAAGTTCAATTTTAAATCTATAACGTTGGAAATGTACCTATTTAATACAGGTTTAAGAATAAATATAAATATATTTATTTAACTTTTTTGTTTGTAGATAACACAGTTAAAAATTGCTAGTAATCCATTCGCAAAAGGATTCAGAGACTGCGAGACTGAAGAATGGTAATATCATATTAATATTTTATGCGTTTGCATTTATTTTAATATCTAAATAAAATGGAACATTATAAAAGCTTTGTGTATAATATACACTTGATATATTTATTAGACTAAAGAAGCTACCAGATTATAAATCTTGACAGATTTTTTTTCCGTTCTTCATTTCACCCTCTTTGGAATGAGCCCAAGCGTTACTAATTGACACCGGTGTGTTATACTGTTCTTAAATATACATATTATTATACATACACTAGTAAATTAGTAGTACATTTCAAGAAAAGGTGTACATAACACAAGTCAATTAAAAAAATCCCYATAGCTGGCAATCATTGTAGGTGTTTTCATGTAAATTGGCACATAAATAGCAATAAATGTCGGTTTATATGATTTTTGGAAAAAAATTCGTTCTTATTTTATACTCGACACATTGCTTTAAATATGTTAAAGTGTGAAACATGTGTGTGTGTGTGCAACTGTGTGGGTGTGTGTATGTGTGTTTAATTGTATTTTTTTTTCTGAAGGAAGTTAAAATTATTTTTTTTTTCATGCAGTGGTCCTATGTCTATTGATAGTGAACCACAAGCCGCCAATAATAAATCGCAATGCAAAAAAAACGTCACTGGAATCCATAACAACAATAATTGCGTTCAGTTCCCAAATAAAGAATCAACAGGAAGTTTGGGTATGTTTTTTTATTTATTTATATTTCGGATATTTTTATTAAGGAACTTATATAAAGATTAATKTTCTACCGACAAAATTAAAATAATGTTTATATTTTAAACGACGTTTTTATGGATCCCATATGTATTTGTTAACATAATAAAACAAAGCTTCATATCTTTAAATTAAAT